ATCATTGAAGTAAGCAGGTACAATAACAACAGTATTGGTTGTTGTCTTCCTGAGGTAGGCTTCTGTGATTTCCTTCATCTTTGTCAAAACCATAGATGACACTTCTTCTGGGTAGAAACTTTTTGTCTCTCCCTTGTATTCTACTTGGACCTTGAGCCAGCCAGCATCATTCATCACTATGAAGGGCCAATGCTTCATATAAGACTGGACAATAGCATCATAAAATCTACATTCAAGTATTCGGCATCAAAACTGTGTTGGTAGGATTCACTGCAACTTGATTCTTTGCAACATCACCAATCAGTAAAAGCAATATAACTTGGGGTGCTTCAACTTCCCTGATCATTGGCAGTTATTTCCACTTTTCCATGTTGGAAGATACTCACATAAGATTAGGTGATGCCATGATCAATGCGAACTGCAGACATGGTTGCTAGTGTATGCACAACTTGCAAAGATTCAGATTCGAACAGTGCCCTTCTTCCCAGTCCAATAAGCTACTTAGGCATTTAAAAAACTGATGGTGATGTCCTGGCTACTGTGGTTCAGTGGTTAGAGTGCCTGCCTGCACAACAGAGGGTGATAGGTTCAATCCCTGGCCCCAGTCAGGGTGCATGCAGGAGGCAATCAAGTGATGTGTCTTTCTCACATTGATGTTTCTCTCTCTCCTTCTCCCCTGACTTTTCACCCTCTCTAAAAATTAATGGAAAAAAATATCCTCCAGTGAGGATTGACCACAAAAATAAATAAATAAAAACTGATGGTGAGAAAAAAAATTCTTCCTGGGAGCTGGTGAGGGAAAATTATCCTATATAATAAAGACCTAATATGCAAATGGTCATCACACCCTCGTGCTCTCACACTGGGCCTGGGAGACTTGAGGCCCTGCCCCCTGTCCTGGCACCAGGACTGGGGAACTGAAGCTGCGCCTCCAGCCCGGCAGCACTTGACAGGGGACCTGAGGCTGCGCCTCCTGCCCAGCGGGGCTTGATGGGGGTGGGGCCAGCTGGGTCTGGGTCTCGTGCAATTTCGAGGCTCACACAGGTGGGCAGGGACTTGACTCTAGGTCCCGTGGCACACCCTAGACTCTGACAGGAGGGAGATTTTCATATACATTTTATTAATTTTCTTTCATCTCTGACACTTCTATTATAGAGAAAGAGCAAATAGCAATATTAAAATATTTCCTCTAATTCCCTTTTAATGTGCATGGATTTTGTGCACCAGGCCACTAGTATTAAATATTTGATAATAAAACTATAGAAGAAAACTTTCAATACAATATGTTAGGGATTTTTGTTGTTAAAAATACATGCTTTTCATTCTGATAAACAACTAGATTAAGAATACATGAGAGAAACAGGGTGGTATCTTTATATGCTACTCTGTGATCAAGGACTGGCAGGTGATATAAGAAAAAAAAAATTGATCTATTAGAGTGAAGTGTATAGGTTCTTACAATTTAAAAAATTTCAGATGGTGTTACATTACCTATTTTGTCTTTATTAAGGGATACGTTCATTCTACTCTCTAATTCATCAACTCTTGCCACAGTAACTTGGACAGTGGCCATGCTCTAGGTCAGTGGTCGACAAACTGCGGCTCGCGAGCCACATGCGGCTCTTTGGCCCCTTGAATGTGGCTCTTCCAAAGCCTTAGGAGTACCCTAATTAAGTTAATAACACTGTACCTACCTATATAGTTTAAGTTTAAAAAATTTGGCTCTCAAAAGAAATTTCAATCATTGTACTGTTGATATTTGGCTCTGTTGACTAATGAGTTTGCCAACCACTGCTCTAGGTAGTATGATAAAACATGCCAGAACCAAAGTGTATATTTCTTAAATAAGTTCTTTCAATAAACTTGATATTTATGGTTTCCATCTTACATTTAAGTCCTTTATCCATTTTGACCTTATTTTTGTGGATGGGGTAAGTTGGTGGTCTAGTTTCATTTTTTTGCATGTATCTGTCCAATTTTCTCAACACCATTTATTGATGAAACTATCTTGACTCCATTGTATGCTCTTGACTCCTTTGTCAAATATAAATTGAGCATATTGGCTTCGGTTGATTTCTGGGTTCTCTGTTCTGTTCCATTGGTACATATGTCTGTTCTTGTGCCAGTACCAGGCAGTTTTGAGAACAGTGGCTTTGTAATATAGATTGATATCTGGTATTGTGATCCTCCAACCTTGTTCTTTTTTCTCAAGATTGCTGCAGCTATTTGGGATATTTTTATTTTTTTATTGCAGATAAATTTTTGGAGAGTTTATTCTAGGTCTTTGAAGTATGCCATTGGTATTTTAATGGGGATTACATTGAATCTATAGATTGCTTTGGGTAGTATGGACATTTTAATGATGCTGATTCTACCAATCCATGAACATGGTATATTCTTTCATTTGTTTATGTCTTCCTCTATCTCTTTTTTCAGCATCCTGTAATTTTCTGAGTACAGGTCCTTTACCTCCTTGGTTAAATTTATTCCTAGGTATCTTAATTTTTTTGTTGCAGTGGTAAATGGGATTTTTTAAGTTTCACTTTCTGTGAGTTCATTATTGGTGCATAAAAAAGCTAGAGATTTCTAGGTGTTAATTTTATATCCTGCTACATTGCCAAATTCATTTATTAATTCTAGTAGTTTTTTGATGGAGTGTTTAAGGTTTTCCATGTACAATATCATGTCATCTGTGAATAATGACAATTTTACTTCTTCTATTACAATTTGGATGCCTTTTATTTATTCTTCTTGTCTGATCACTAAGGCTAGCACTTCCAGTACCATGTTGAACAGGAATGGTGAAAGTGGGCATCCCTGTGTTATTACTGTTCTTAGGGGAAATAGTTTTAGTTTTTGCCCATTGAGTATGATGTTGGCTGTAGGTTTGTCATATAAGACTTTTATTATGTTGAGGTATGATCCCTCAATTCCCACTTCGCTGAGAGTTTTTATCAGGAAAGGGTGTTGGATTTTGTCAAATATATTTTCTGTATCAATTTATATGATTATGTGATTTTTGTGTCTCAATTTGTTTATTTGATGTATCATGTTTATTGATTTGTGGATATTGTACCAGCCTTGTATCTCTGGAATAAATCCCACTTGGTCATGGGTGTATGATCTTTCTAATATAGTGCTGGGTACAATTTGCTAGAGTTTTGTTGAGGATTTTAGCATCTATATTCATCAGGGATATTGGCCTGCAATTCTCTTTCTTTGTGGTATCTTTATCTGGTTTTGTGATTAGGGTAATGCTGGTTCATAGAAAGAGGTTGGAAGTGTGCTTATCTCTTAAATTTTTTGGTATAGTCTGAGAAGAATAGGTTTTCGTTATTCTTTGAATGTTTGGTAAAACTCTCCTGTGAAGCTGTCTGGTGCAGGGCTTTTGTTTGCTGGAAGCTTTTTGATGACTGCTTCAATTTCCTCCTTAATTATCAGTCTTTTGAAATTTTTTTACTCTTCTTGATTGAGTTTTGGAAGGTTGTATTTTTCTAGGAGTATGTCCATTTCCTCTAGGTTGTTTAGTTTGTTGGAGTAGAGTTGTTCATAGTATTTTTTTTTTTTTACAATCTTTTGTATTCCTGTGTGGTCTGTTTATTTCACCTCTTCCATTTTTGATTTTGTTTATTTGGGTCCTCACTCTTTGCTTCTTGGTGAGTCTGGCTAGAGGTTCATCAATCTTGTTTATCCTTTCAAAGAACAAGCTCTTGGAAGAAGCCATAGGCAACAAAATATCAGACATATGTCATAGCAATATCTTTACCAAACAGCTTCTAGGGCAATAGAAACTAAAGACAAAATAAACAAATGGGACTACATCAAAATAAAAAGCTTCTGCACAGTGAAATCAACCATCAACAAAACAACAAGAAAGCCCACTGCATGGGAGAACATACTTAACCATGTTATCTCAGATAAAGGTTTAATCTCCAAAATTTATAGGGAACTCACAAAACTTAAAAAGAAGATAAATAATCCAATAAAAAATGGGTAAAGGATCCCAATAGACACTTTTCAAAAGAGGACATACAGAAGGCCGAGAGATATATGAAAACATGCTCAAAGTCACTAATCATCTGAGAGATGCAAATCAAAACCACAATGAGGTACCATCTCACATCTGCCAGAATGGCTATCATCAACAAATCAACAAAGGACAAGTGCTGGAGAAGATGCGGAGCAAAAGGAACCCTCCTTCACTGCTGGTGGGAATGCAGGCTGGTGCATCCACTGTGGAAAACGGTATGGAATTTCCTCAACTTCCATTTGATCCAGTAATCCCACTTCTAGGTAAATATCCCAAGAAAACAGAAACCCCAATCAGAAAGGATATATGCACCCCTATGTTCATAGCAGCACAATTTACAATAGCTAATATTCGGAAACAGCCTAAGTGCCCATCTGCAGATGAGTGGATTAGAAAACTGTGCTACATCTACACAATGGAATATTATGCTGCTGTGAAAAAGAAGGCATTCTTACCATTTGCAACAGCATGGATAGAACTGGAGAGTATTATGCTAAGCAAAATAAGACAGTCAGTGAACGATAAATATCACATGATTTCATTCATTTGTGGAATATAATGAATAACATAAACTGATGAACGAAAATAGAATCAGATTCATAGAAGCATCAAACAGACTGTCCAACCTATGAGGGAAGGTGGGGGTTAGGGGGTAAGAGATCAACCAAAGGACTTGTATGCATGCATATGAGAATAACCAATGGACACAGACAGGGTTGAAGGAGGGCATTGCTGGGGGTGGGAGTGGCCCGGGAGTGTCAATGGGAAAAAAAGAGACTTATGTAATGCTTTAAACAATAAAGAATTTGAAGTAAAAAATGATATTTATAATTAGATCTCAAGCGGCAAGAGAGAGTCTATATTTTATGAAACTAGAAGATCAAGTCCATTTTTATTTTTAAAAATCCAATTGGAAGATTAGCATAATCAAAATAAGATAAAGAAAAATGGAGGAAGGTACATAACTGACCTGCCCTAGGATGGAAAATGTGTTCTGCTCAGAGTTTCCAGGAGTATGCATGGCAGTGAGAGGAGTAGGCCAGGGATGTGTCATCTCCTGATGAGGAAAAACAAAGCAACTTTATTTTTGGGCACTTAGAAAATTAAAAACTTTCTTGGCACTAAATATAGTAAGCCCTTTATAAATACTTACTTAATTGGCCTAGTTTTTTTTCAGAGGTACTTAAAGTCATTTGGTCCATTTCCCTGCTCCACACTGGTGCTTCAAGCCTATCTTCAATACAAAAGGCCATCTAACATCCACTTACACATTGCCAGTGACAGGAAGCTCACTACTGCTTGAAGCAGCCTGTCTCATGTTGAGGCAGCTTGATCAGATGATTCTTCCTGGTTGTGAGCTACACCCCTGTCTCACTGGAGTTTCTAACTATGAATCATACTTTGGAACTTCAAAGAACATATCTCCTCTTCTTTCTCATGACAAGCCTTCAGCTGTTGAAAGATATCAATTCTATCCCCCGGTGTTGTCTTTTCTCTAGGCTGAGATATCTATAGCTTGTTCAATTATTTATTGGGAATTTTCAACTTTTCACCTTTTCTTCTAATGCTTGAGTTCTGCATTCTGGCACTATTCTAGGTGTTCCCAGAAGGGGCTCTTGATTGCCTGGGGCTCTTCTAACTCATGGTATTCTGTTTTAGGTATGATTTGCCATCTCAGGTGAGAGCAGTACTGTCACCATCCTTGTTCTGGATAGTATGATAGTCATTTCTCTTGACATAGCCTAACAGTTAGTGACAAGATTACACACATGGCATTGATTTTGCCATGCAAAGATGAGAAAGCTGAAGAGAATTCTTTGTCATTTGTAAAGAAGGTTACTATGTGATTGGTAGCTCTGATCCACCAAACATACACACTGTGTATTTGTGAGTTCAAGTCTCAAAATAGGAAAAGCACCTAAGGCTCCCTCCCACTCTCTGTTATCAGAAGGGGCACCTTTTCAGTGCCTTCAAACACTTAGTTTGAGAAGAGGTGCTGCATATTCAAAAGCTGCTTGAGTTATAGGGCTTGTGGCCAACATGCTTTACTTGAAGAGTAAGGATAATTAAATCACATGTTTAAAATCCCAGCACCAGAGAGATGACAAAGTATGCGAAGCAGGACAGTGCCAGCATGTGATGGATTTATCGAACATTTTGATATGTAAACATTAAACATAAAATCATTGTAATGATAGAAATACATGAGAGCTTTGGGGAGGGGTATAAGGGATGAAGGTTTATGAAAGGCCTTGTTATTGTTATTGTTGTTGTTAATCCTCACCGGAGGATATTTTTTCCATTGATTTTTTTTTTTTTTTTTAAGAGAGAGTGGAAGGAAGTGGTAGAGACACACAGAGAGAAACATCGATGTGAGAGAGACACATTGACTGGTTGCCTCCCTGACCCCAACCAGGGTTGGATCGAGCCTGCAACTGAGGTACATGCCTTTGACTGGAATTGAACCCATGACCCTTCAGTTCACAGGCCAACACTCTAACCACAGAGCAAAACCAGCTAGGGCTATGGAAGACCTTTTTAATGACTCAAATTATATAATACTTTTCCTCAATCTTTATGGATAACATAATTAGTCATTGCAAAGGTAACATTAATAAGAAACCTCAGGTAGAACTAACACATGATGTTGTTTTTTATTCTATAATTATCCAGTTTAAAAAGAATCTTTGATGTATGAAGAGCTGTAATGCAAGGATATATTTCACAGATTCATTCACAGCAGCACCACTCAAGCAGAATTTGTAAGTATGATTAAGAGTAGTGCTGACACAGATTGAATTTTACCTAGCATTTTTAAAAGGTGGTGGTAAGTACATTAAAAATACAAAAAAAATTTAGAGGGGATGCTTAACCTACTTAAGAGATAGACTATTTCCAAGTGTTTTTTTTTTTGAGATATGCATTTGTATGCAGTTGATAACATTCTTGACAAATGTTACTTATGAATTTCCTCAAAACAGGCCAAAAGTAACTCTATGTGACAATAGTTTAAAGCTGAATTCCAATTACTCTGTCTCTAAAATACTCAATGAATTATTTTAAATTTTAAGTTTTTAAATTTTCTTTATTGATTAAGGTATTACATATGTGTCCTTATTCCCCCATTGTCCCTCAGCCCCTTCTCATGTCCTTAACCCCCTGGTGTCTGTGTCCATTGGTTAGGCTTATATGCATGCATGCAAGTCCTTTGGTTGATCTCTCCCCCTTCCCCCACCATCCCCTGCCTTCCCTCTGAGGATTGATGGTCTGATCCATGCTTCTCTGTCTCTGAAGGTGTTTTTTAATATATATATATATATATATATATATATATATATATATATATATATATATATGGAAAGGAGAGGGCATAGAGAGTTAGAAACATCGATCAGCTGCCTCCTGCACACCCCCTACTGGGGATGTGCCTGAAACCAAGGTACATGCCCTTGACCGGAATCGAACCTGGGGCCCTTTAGTCTGCAGGCCGATGATCTATCCACTGTGTCAAACCGGTCAGGGCTCTAGACCTGTTTTTGTCAGTTTATGTTGCTCATTATATTCCGCAAATGAATGAGATCATGTGATATTTATCTTTCTCCAACTGACTTATTTCGCTTAGCATAATGCTCCTGTTTAAGACTGGTATTCTCCAAAGTTAGTTTTATCATTTAAAAGATATAGGTACATTTTTAGTTTTTTTGGACCTTGATCCCACTTCTAGCAATATATTCCAAGAAACTAGAAACACCAATCAGAAAGGATATTCACCCCTATGTTCATAGCAGCACAATTTACCATAGCTAAGATTTGTAAACAGCCTAAGTGCCCATCAGCCAATGAGTGGATTAGAAAACTGTGGTACATCTGCACAATGGAATACTACGCTGCAGTAAAAAAGGAGTTCTTACCATTTGCAACAGCATGGATGGAACTGGAGAGCATTATGCTAAGCGAAATAATGGTTAACATGAGATATTATTCGTTTCTGAAGTTTCTATGTGTGAAATGATGATGATGATGATGATGATGATGATGATGATGATAATGATAATGCTAGATTTCCAAATGATTACATTGAGCCAGACACTTATTTCTACACTCCATCTTTTTGTACCACTAACTAAAGAGGTAGGGATTAGCATCATACTTGTTTGACAGATGAAAAAACAGAGATACCAAGAGGTGAAGTGACTTGTTCAAGGCCACACAGTTAGCAAATGGCAGTCTCTTTGGTGGATTTCCTGCATTTTATTCTACTAATTTGTATTGTATTGTCTTTATATGCCAGTCACTGGGATCTATAAATGTTAAAAGGTCAAGTTTCTTCCTGGAAAGTGCTCACTCTGCTTAACATGCTAACCACTTGTAGAGAGCAATATGTAAAGGTGTCAGGGAGGAATTCTTTGTGTAATGCATTTGGAAAAGGCTTCAGAGTGGAGGCTAGAGGAGCAGTGTTTGTGATGTACTGTGTGTGTATGTGTGTGTGTGTACTCTTTACAGAGGCTAACATTATACCTGACACATAGTGGATGTGCAAACAATACATGTTTAGGATAAATAAAACCATACCATAAATATTAAGGTCTTCACCCCACAGAGTTCAAAGAGAAAGTATAACCATAGCAATTTTTCAAATAACCATCTTAATGAATATAAATGGTGGTGGAATCTTACATATTTCATTGCTATTGCTGTTGTTGTTGGAATCAGAGGGATTACCAAAGTTCCCTGGCCTAAGAGTGAGGGGAGTTTTAACTACTGTCTGAGTTCTGCTAAAAGCTACTCAAGTGATCGCGGTCAGGTTGCTTCAGCCTCTCTGAGGCCTCAGTTTTCCTACCTGTAGTATGCATCCTTTGCTAAGATGGCCTCTACAGGTTCCCCTACCCAGTAATAGTTAATCTCTGCTTCTACCTCTATAGTTCAACCTCAGGGGAAACTGAGCTAATGAGTGCACAAAGGTTTTAGAAACCATATAGCATGGAATATGTATAAATCTCATGCTACTAGCCCCACAAACACAGTGACAGCATTGCCAGCATAAGCCTGCATGCATATGCTTATCCAACAGGCACCTTAGCCTCTGTCCAGGGATCAAGATGTGAGGAGCTCAGTTCCTTTTTCCCTTAAATCTGCTGGTGTCAAGAATGTAAAAATTAAAATTTTACAAGTATTTACAAATTCCTGTGATTAGTAATGATAAGTAAGAACAGTTGAGTGGTTCTAAAATACAGTGGGGTCTTGACTTACGAGTGCCCCGACTAACGAGTTTTTTGAGATACGAGCCGTCTCTCGGCCGATTTTTTGCTTTGAGTTGCAAGCTAAAATTCGGGTTACGAGCCAGCTTCAGATACCCCACCGCTAGTTGGCGCAGCAAACGTCACAGTGAATGCCACAACATCAGCCCAGCACCACGTGTCTCATTCGTTCACTTTAAGATTTGACATACGAGTAATTTGAGTTACGAGCTCCGTCACAGAACGAATTAAACTTGTAAGTCAAGGTCCCACTGTACAAATATGGCCCTGCTGGTGTGACACAGTGGTTGAGTGTCAACCCATGAACCAAGAGGTCACCAGGCTGGATCCCCAGTAGGGGGCGTGCAGGAGGCAGCTGATCAATGATTCTCATCATTGATGTTTCTATCCCTCTCTCCCTCTCCCTTCCACTCTCTGAAATCAGTAAAAAAAAATAAATAAAAATATGATTGTATAGGAGGAGAATACACCCATACAATCAGGTTGGAGTTTATTTTCATAGAGACTTAGATTTAAATGACTGCCAAGTCATGGTAACTGAACTTGGTCTCTGACTTCCTTTGGGAGAGAGGGCTACTTTTCTTTTTCTTCCCCCACCCCAGTAAGTATACTCCCATAGAGTACTATAATAGGAAAGTAAATATATACGGTTGGCAGTCTTACATGCCACCATGGTCCAAGAAACATCAGCACCCTCCCTTACCCCAAACACATTTGTACCTGGGAATATTGAGTTTACCTGTCCCATTTGTACAAGTGAGGTAGGTGTACTTGTTAGACAGTCAAATCTGCTTCT